TGCTGCTGCTGCTGCTGCTGCTGCTGCTGCTGCTGCTGTTGCTGCTGTTGCTGCTGCTGCTGCTGCTGCTTCTGCCTCGGCAGAGCAGCAAATGCAGCTACTAAGGAGCCCGAGGACTGGGGCGTTTTGCTGATGGCTTGTGCGGGTATCTGCCCCCGTGAAGAGCTGGGTTCAATTGCTGCTGCTGCTGCTGTTGCTGCTGCTGTTGTTGCTGCTGCTGCTGCTCTTGCTGCTGCGTCAGCAGGGGGGATCCAGGGTAAGAAGACGATGGAGGGGGCTGAGAGAGAGAGGAGGCAGCACTTGCGCCTTGAGGGCTGACACGTAGCAGCAAAGCGGTTCTTCTTGCTGCTGGTGCTGCTGCTGCTGTCGTTGCCGCTTCTGCTGCGGCCAGTTACTCTGCCTACTGTTGATGTTGATGATGCTGTTGCTGCTGCTGCTGCTGCTGCTGCTGCATGCTGTCTCGTCAGCGTCAGCTCCAGCCGCTCACAAACAGAAGAAGGCAGCGGCCTCGGCAGCAGCAGCAGCAACGGAGCAGCAGAACGCAGCTGCTGCAGCAGCAGCACGGTGCGTCTGTGTCGGAGGGGTGTTGGCGTGCGCAGTGCAGCATCTGATATAGCAGCAGCAGCAGCAGCAGCACTGCGGCGCTGCTGCTGCCGAGCAGCAGGAAGCCGCAGCAACGACGCGCGGCTGCTGCTGAGCTGGTGTATCGACAGCAGCACAAAGGGAGCAGCAGCACGCCCCTGCAGCCAGGCGAAGGACTCCTTCCCTTGCAGCAGCTCCCCAGGCATTGCTGCAGCCTCCGTCTCCTCCTGCTGCTGCTGCTGTTGCTTCTGCTGCTGCTGCTGCTGCTGCTCTTGTTGCTGTTGCTGCTGTTCAAGCTGCTGTTGCTGCTGCTGCAGCTGCTGCTCCTGCTGCTGCTGGTTCCGGCCTTTTCCCATGCACGAAGCACGCCCAGGCAGAGCAGCAGCAGCAGCAGCAGGAACAGCAGCAGCAGCAGCAGCAGCAGCAGCAGGCGGGTGCAGGATAGCAAGCGCAGCGTCCCACAGCTCGAGATACACCCCAGGAGAGTGCATGCGGCTCTGCAGCGGCAGCGTCATCAGCTGGGGCTGCAGCAGCAAAGGAGAGAGAGGGTGAGGCTGACTGAGTCTGCTGCTGCAGCAGCTGCAGCAGCGCTCGTGCTGCTGCCGCACCCCCAATAAAGTTTGTATGGAGACGTCACACATAATGTCTAGCCGCTGCAGCAGCTCCCCTATAAAAGCAGCAACTTCCGGGGCATCTTTTGCTGCTGCTGCTGTTGCTGCTGTTGCTGCTGCTGCTGCTGTTGATAGATGTGGTGCTGCTCCTCTTACTGCTGCTGCTGCTGCTGCTGTTGCTGGTACTTTTGCTGCCACAGTGTGCCCACTTTCATCTGCTGGAGCGCTTTCGAGTGCGATGCTGTCGCTGCTGCTGCTGCTGCTGCAGCTGCTGCTGCTGCTGCCATGATTTTTATGTTTGCTGCTGCTGGGTCGCACAGCAGCAAAAAGAGCAGCAGCAGCAGCAGATACTCGTGCTGTTGTTATCCTGCTGAGGCCTGTGTCTAGACGGCTCCACTGACACCCCAACAAGCCGCTGCTTCTATCTTTTTTCTCTGCTGCGCTGCGGGGATACAGCTGCTGCACCTGCTGCTGCAGCTCGTTGTATTGCTGCCGCTGCATGTACACATAAAAACTACACATACAACACCAAACCCCACCCTGCTGCTGCTCCTTCTCCTGCTGCACTTGCTGCTGCTGTCGCTGCTGTTGCTGCTGCTGCTGCTGCGGAGATGCACACCGCCGCTGCAGCCCCTGCTGCTGCGGCAGCATATCCTCCCTATCACCATCATCATCGTCAGCAGCAGCAGCAGCAGCAGGAGCAGCAGCAGCAGCAGCAGCAGCAGCAGCAGCAGCGTGAGCAATCTCAACAACTATTAAGTCTGAAGATCGATTGACAAGGCCCCCATAACAAACAGCAGAAACAACACGCAGCCCCAGGGGCGGCAGCGACCAGCGCATCTGCAGCGCAGCAGCAGCAGCTGCTGCTGCTGCTGCATCTGCTGCAGCAGCTGCTGCTGCTGCCTCCAATGAATCCGCTGCATCCGGTGGGGCTGCTGCTTCTCCTCCTCCTTCTGCTGCTCCTGCTGCTGCTGCTGTTCCTGCTGCAGCATCTCTACACCCAACACTGGGGTCTTCATATGGGTTGCTGCTGCTGCTGCTGCTGCTGCTGCTGCCGTTGTTGCAGCCCGGCAACTCGCCGGCAGCAGCAGGTTGATCGTCTCCATACTGCTGCTGCTGCTGTTGCTGCTGCTGCCGGTGCTGCTGCTGCTGCTGCGACAGGCATCTCCGCCTGCAGCAACGGCAAGAACGCAGAGAATGGCAGGGGCAGCGAGCAGCGCAGCAATCTGCTGCTGCTGCGCTGCTGCTGCTCCCCCCACAACTGCTTCGTCGAGCTGCTGGTGCTGCTGCTGTTCTTGCTGCTGCTGCTGCTGTTGGAGAGGAAGAAACTGCTAGTTCAGGGTATTGTTCTGCTGCTCCATGAGCTGCTGCTGGAGGGTCTGCTGCTGCTGCTGCAGCTGCTGCAGCTGCTGCTGGGGTAGCTGCAGGTTCCCTTGCTGCTGCTGCTGCGTCGGGAGGTGAGGCAGCAACGACAGCAGCAGCAGCGGCAGCAGCAGCGAGCTGACCTAGTGCAGCACTGGTGTGCTGTTAAGAAAACTGCGGAGGAAGGAAAGCCTCTCCAGGGGTCAAGCCGTCCAGAACTGTTGCTGCTGCTGCTGCTGCTGCTGCTGCAGCTGCTGCTGCAGTCGTGGTTGCTGTTGCTGCTGCTGTTGCTGCTGCAGTTGATGCTGCGAGAGCATACACAACACTGCGACGAAGAAGTTACGCTGCCAGGAGAAGAAATGTGCGCCTCGTCAGCAGCAGCAGCAGCAGCAGCAGCAGCAGCAGCAGCAGCAGGAACAGCTGCAACAGCGGGAACCACTCGACCCCAGGTGTAAACGCAGCAGCAGCT